ACTTTGTGTTGTTCTATGTTTTCAAATTTACCACACAAAAAAAACTATTAAATACTGATCTTTACATACACTTTTGTTACATTAGGAGTAGAGACAAGTTCTGTTTGGAGACATCTCCGAGGAAAGTTTTTATATTTTATTTTCACATTCAAAACCTTTGCTTCAGCCTCAAAGAGAGTGTTTATGTAAAATTAAATAAATGCTGGCAGTGAGCTGCACTTTTTTTTGTCTAATGGGAAAAGATTTAAGAAGGTGTGTATTACGTATGCTGTTTAGGGTCCTTTGGCTTTGGTTCTGGGTGCTTTCATTGGAAAGTGTTTGTAAAAGTTCCTTGGTTATAAATAGCCTTTGTAGAATGGCTTTCCCAAATGCTGGTTGAAATAGTGCTGTGCATGGTATGTGAACAGCCTCATTTTCTCCTCTGGGGCTAGAGTGTGGAGTTCTCAGAAAGTATATATTGTTCCCCAGTGCTGTGCATAGTGTCAGTAGATTTTCTATTGTGTTATGCATTTCAGCCTCCAGGACCACTGGTGGTACTCATAGGTATGAGCTGGCTAGGGTTAATGCAGATGTGTATATACTTGATCCTTGTTTACTGGTAGAAGCTCTCTGTTACCTCAGACAATGGGTTGGTGGGTGGCATGCACATTTGTCTGAGGTCCCAGATTAGCCCTCAAATGGAAGACCAAGACTGGTGGGGTAGATGAGACAGGCCTGCCTACAGGTCTCCTAGTGTCAGGAACAAGCATCAGCTTTGAAAGCAGGTCTAGTGGGCCATAGCCAGGCATCTGGAGGTGTGCTAACTCATGTTGTCAGGAAATCCTGGCTGCCCCAAGTTCTCTACATGGGTAGGGTGGCCTAAACCTCTAATTTAGAATCATGAGTGCTTCACGTGCCTGGAGATATTTCTGGCCATCAAGCAGAGAGGCCATGACTGCACCAATATCTCTTCACCTGAAGGGAAGGGTACTTCAGGAGCCTTATCCAGTGAAGCAGGTGTACCAAATGCCTGGAAATATGCCTGGGGAGGTAGCAGAAAAACTGCTGCTGCCAAACGGTCTTTGCAGGGGTTAAGAGGGGCAAGTCAAGCTCCTAATCCCGGAGAGTATGTGCCCCTCAAACTGTGTGTGAGATGACTAGAGAATGAGCACAGAAATCGCCACAACACGGTCTTTGCATGGGAAGGTAGGGGCTGTTCAAACTCCTAATCATTGAGAATGGGTTTGCAGAATGCCTGCAGTTATGTCTGGGTGTGCAGCAGAGGAAGTGCTACTGCACTAAGGTCTTCGTGTGGGAAGAATTGGTGACTCAAGCTCCTATTCCAGTGAGTAGGTACACCCAAAGCTTGGTGTTATGTGTGGGTATGGAGCAAACAGTG